AGGTGCCTGTGCCCTCCCTCACCTTCCCGCTCCCGGGCGTCGCGGGGCAGCACCGTTTCCCTCACACGCGGCGTTGCGTGTTGCTATCTGGGGGCGAGAAAGCTTGGTGAGCTGACCCCTCCCTGTTTGCTTTGCAGAACCTGGACCATGGCAAGGCCTGGGGCATCCTGACCTTCAAAGGTAAGGAGTCGGAGGCCGGCTAGGGTGGCTGCTGGCAACAGACGGTTCCGCAAGTGTGTGCACTACACCCGCCCTTCTCTCCCCAGGAAAGACGGAGAGCGAGGCCCGGGAGATCGAACACACCATGTACCACGACTGGCGGCTGGTGCCCAAGCACGAGGAGGCGGCCTTCACCGCTTTCACACCGGCGCCGGAGGACACCCTGCGCTCCGTGCCCTACCCGCCGCTGCTCCGGGCCATGATTCTGGCAGAGCGACGGAAGAAAGGGGACCCCAGCACCGAGGAGCCCGTGCTGAGTCTGGAGAGAGTCCCCATTGAGCCCTGGGACTACCCCGAGAAACAAGAGGCAAAGAAAAGGGCCAAGGGCACTCCTGTCTGAAATGCCAGAACCGGCAGTTTGTCTAAAGGGTGCAAGGCAGCGGGCACCGTCCTGGTGACTCAGAATGTCCGTGTTGCTCCTGAGTCAGCCCCCGGGACCTCCGTGACTTTTCTGAGACCGCACTGAACAGAGGGGCGCCAGACCCCGCGCCTGTGTCTCTTTGTCCCTGTTCTCCAAACCCAGATCTGGCCGAGGGAGCGTTGGGAGAAGACCGACACCGTGCGTGTGGTCCGGTGGAGGGTGGTGGTTTCTTCCGGTCTGGAGTGTGCACGGGCCCGCAGGAGGCAGCTGCTGGGGGAGAGCTGGCAGCAGCGGGGCTGCAGGTGTGGAGCCACGGCGCGGGCACCTGCCACTTCCAGGTGGCATCCCTTTCCCATATGCGTTGCTTCAGCCAGGACCGAATCTTGAGAGCCAATAAAGGCAAATGCAGCAGCCGGGTTGTGGTTTCTTCGAGTTTGGGTTGGGCTGTGTGCAGGAGTGCGGGGAGGGAAAGGTTGACACCCTGGTGTCCTGGCCTGGTGGGTGGGAAGGCGGGAGCGGACTGCGGTCGGTACAGACCTCCTTGTCCCAGGGTCGCGGGCTGGGCGTGGACCCCAGGCCCAGCTTCACTCTTCGCGGCTCCAGGAGGCCGGCACGAGGCGGGTCGG